AAAAAAAAAACAACAGACAGATAACAAAGTCTTTTTACAGCAAAACAACAAAAAAATGTTTCGCCGATAATATTCTTTTTTATGACTGCTATGTGTACGTACGGATGTATGTACATAGGAATGTTCCATCCAATGTGGGACTGGTTAAACGAGTTATACGGAGCAATTCGAAAAAAAAATCAAAACGAGATGAGAAAACAACAACAACATGGTCAGAGTCTGTGTGGTGTTACAAAACCGAACCGGTAAATAAACGTAGAAAGCAAAGAACTGAACCTCCTCGGCAAAGGGGTAAACAGAGAAGACGAAGCTATAAAAAAATAACAAACGACCACATCGACGAAGACGACGACGCTGCTGCTGAAAATACTAATACCGTCCATGTGGGGTGATACAAAGGAATAATAATAACAGCAACAACAACAATGCGACTGCAGAATGGATGGATGGTTGAAAATAAAATAATGATGGTTTTTGTATGATTTCCTTCGCTTTTGTTTTCTGCTCTAAGCACGGTCTGTCTGACTGGCTGTTACGTCGACCGTTCGTTGCTGCGTCTGACAGTTTGTCCGTGGTTTAGTTGCACGTTTCTTTGATTGGTGTTGCTGGCAGTGTGTTGGTGTTGGCAGCATGTTTTAACTTGATTCTTGTCGGTATGTCAGTTTCGTGCACAGAGTGTGTGTATGCCTGCCTGCCTGCTGATGGAGATTGTAGATGAGTATGTACTTGCCGCCTTCCCCACTGTGCCCCTCACTTTTATATTGCTTGCTTAAATATTCAGTCATCGTCGTCATTGTTATTGTTGGCTCTGTTGGGCTGCCGTTTTCCCGTTGGTTGCTGTGTTCTCTTGCTCCCCCTCTCTCTCTTGTTTTCCCTTAACACCTCTTGTTTTTTCCCTCATCAACCACTTCACTTTATTTCCATTTTTATTTATATTTGATATAAATTGCAGATGAGGTGTATAAAAATAATTATTATAACAACAACAACGGCAACAACGATGTTGGCATTATATGGCCACCAGGCAACATCGTTGACGACGTTGGCATCGGCAGCGGGAGAAGGCAAAGGCGGAGGCAGTAGTAACTACACACACACACATAACAATATAAAAAGCCAACGCAAAAAACAGCAGCAGCAACAACAACATCACAAATGGATGAAATAAAACACTGGCTACAGTAACAACATAGCAGAACACCAGAAAAGCAACAACGCAGCGCGGCTTTAGCAGTGAAAACGAGCAAAAAATAACAGAAATAACAACAATATGAACTCTGACAACACAGCACATTTATCACGATGCCATGTTGCCACATTTCATTTTGGCAAATTTATTTGTATGTATCCCTCTCTGTGTGGCTGTGTGTGTGTGCATGGGGTTTCTGTTTCCAATTGTTGTTGCTGTTTCTTCGTCATTTTTTGTTTTTTTTTTTTTTTTTTTTGCAAAACAACCATTTAATGTTGTTTTTCTCTGCTTCTTCTTCTTCTACTCGTTCGTCAGCTTCTAGCAAATCAATATGAATTTAAGCTGCTTTAAGTTTCTCGTGTCTGTTATTTTTTAGGTAATTTTTATTTTTTTTATTGTTAATAACTTGCTGTTGTTGTAATACGGTGATTTTATTTGTGTGTGTTTTTTTCTTTTGTTGGAATTTTGAAATTATTTTCACGTGTGTTGCTCTCTCAGCCAGAGGCAGGCATTCAGACATAAAAATGGAAATGGACATTAAATCGGAAAAAAAATGCCGATTTTTTCGAACTAATTTAATGTTGCTGTTTTATTTTCAGTTTCGATGGAGTTTAATGCGGGTTAATGGTTACTCATTGTTGTTGCTGTTGTTGTTATTATCATTATTTTGTTGACCAATATTTGTCAAAAAGCGATCAATATATTTAATGACATGCGTTTTGCCATAAAAAAACAGTTATCTTGATTTAGTCGAAGAGTAGGATGAAATTATCTTGACTAGTCAGGGTCCTCTCATTATTTTGGGATTTGGATATCTGGATAGATAATAACCCATATGGGAAAATGGGAGTATTGGTAAACGAAGTAGGTACAAATAGCAAGCTAACCAAGGATAAAAACATGAAATTGATGGAAATTTTGCATAAATTCCACATTAGTTCAAGCAATTAACGTTCCGTTGGTCTATTGAAAGATTTTGGAAATAATATTTCAAATCCAGATGTAATGCAGGTCCATCGCATGCTCATTAATCTGCTCATAATACAAAGAAAAAGTGCTTTCATTTATATATATTATATTATTTTTTTATATATATATTATATTATTCACTAAAAATGTTCATAAAATGGCCTGTTCCAGAACCTGCAAGAATCTACTAGTTTTGCAACTGTTTTCGATATCGTAAAGGGAAAAACGGTTATCGTGGTAAAACTTTTACATTCTTGCTGTACTGAAACAGACCAATAATCTGTAACATCAAAATTGTTAAAATTAAAAAAAGTTCTCAATAATATATTTCGTTTAACTGCGATGCTCCCGTAACAAAATAATTTATTTGAAGTAGATCACACCACCTAACAACATTTGGCTTTAGAGCAGTTATAATTTGGTTTCAGAGGGAACTAATGTATGGGAGGTATATCCAATTCTGAATCGATTTTCACTAAATTTGACGGAGACATTTTTATATCTTTTATACCAAATAACATTGCTATAGAGTGCATGATGTCACTTGGAGAAGGATTATATTAAAAAATATATATCGGAGCCGAGTTGCCAATCATAGCCGATCTCGATAAAATTTGCAAAGGTATTACCGAGCTCTATAAGATTTCTGGTACCAAATATCATTGTTGCCGAATACCTATTACGAATGTTGTGGACTTAAACACCAAATCGGATGAAACCTATATATGGGAGCTATAGCTATATTTGAACCGATTTTCTCCGAATTCGATGTACTTGCTTCTAGACTAAATTCGGTCGGATTGATATTGACAATTTGGCGCACAATTAACCCAAAATCGTTTGAAGATGTATGTGGGAGCTATATCCACATCTGAACCGATCTTAATAGAATTTGGCAGATGTATATCTGGGCTGAAGATTGAAGATATATATGGGAGCTATATCTAAATTTGGAAAAATCACACATATCGTGTGATACGTATGGGACATTTGTGAAATAAATGAGTAACTTGGCGTTTTCACAAGACAAATTGTTTTAAATCAAAGGCGTATTCTACCACCAAATACACATTCGATTCGATTATTTTCGTCAAGATCTGACATTTTTTCTAACGACGATAAAATGTTTTGTCATTACTATCAAATAAAATACAGTCAAAAACCAGCAAAGTTCGACCGGACTGAACTTTTTATACCCTCCACCCATTTGGAAGAAACTTGAAAATTTTCAAAAAAAAAATTCTGTCAAAAATAACGCTCAAATGAAAACCATTATATGGGGGCTATACGAAGAAGTGTTCCTGCGTAAGTAATTTGTATCATAGCCTGTAGTAACGGTTCCGAAATTTGTATACGAAATTTGAACTATCCCTGCGAATAATATCGCAAACTATCCCTGCGAATAATATCGCAAAAATCATGAAAATACCGAATATCTGGGGTACCGTCATATGGCCGCTATACTACGCTAGGTAAAGGATGCGTAGTTGTTTTAACAACCACTCCACTTGATGACCTGCTGGTCCATTGTGTACATCTCATCTGAAAAAAAAACTGAGAGAATAGGAAAATAGAGAAGAAGGATAGAGTTAGAAGATAGGGATAAGAAGATTATGATAGTATAGCTAAGCCATAATTAGCGTGTTGTGTTTAGCCATTTCAGTTTTCTGGCTAATTGAAGCATAGTTGCTGGTTTGCATTCAGAGAAGTAGGACAATATGGCTATATTTTTTTGGAGACATGACAATACAGCCAGTTCTGATTGAATCTCCCAAGATAGTGCTTGTGCAATACTTGGAAGAAGTGGCATAATGGAGGCTTCGCTGGACGGTCTATCTCTAAATCCACTGACTCAAATCCACGTCTAGCCAATTCATCTGCTGATTGATTGCCAGATATGCTACAATGGCCAGGGACCCAACAGAGTTTTACCAACGATTTAAACCTTTTCAGAGCATTTTTGCATTCCAGATCAGCCATAGAATTGATTGTAAAAGGGCGCTATACTAAAACGTGGAAGTGAATTTTAAGGCAATTCCATTAAAAAATTTGACTGAAATCATCAAAATACCGAATATCGGGGGGTATACGGTATCGTGGACCTATATAGACAATTCTCTTCTAGGGAATGAAGTACTCACAAGGAACTCCTTTTGTGGATTTTAAGACAATTCTATTGAAAAATGTGACTAAAATCATCAAAATACCGAATATCTGGAGGAACCTTTATATAGGGGATATATGATATCGTGGACCTATATAGACAATTCTCTTCTAGGGGATAAAGTACTCACAAGGAACTCCTTGTGTAGAATTTAAGAAAATTCTGTTGAAAAATGTTGGTTAAATCATCATAATACCGAATATCGAAAGGAAATAGGGTAAAAATAACTACCTCTGGAAAGAAATTTCACAAAAATCGAAGTCTTTACTCAACTAGAGTTGTTCCGCCAAAATTCTACTAGGCCAAGAACTGACACTATAGTTGCTCTTTAAAAACAAAAAGACTGCAAAAGATAAATCCTCGGATACAACAGCCACATGAAATGATATTGTATTTCAACACTTTCCTTCCACGGGTTTCCCCCTTTCATTGTGAAAAATATACAGGAATGGCAACCCTGTGTCTAATACCAGTCTTGCCGTTGCTGCTGCCGATACCACCGCTGTTGTTGTCCCTAACGATGATGTTGATGATTGGTGGTGGCTTACTCGGTCCGATGGTGCTGTGGTGAATTAAGAAAACGTGTTGGTATGAAACGAACATCTGTCGAATCGAGCCACACGAAAATCTTTACGAACACCACATCAGTAGTGAAACACAGAGTAAAGTGAAGTAAGAATAAAATGACAATTAATTTTCATCTCTGGTGAAAAATCGAAGAAACTATTGGGAAAAAAGTGATGAATTACTGGAAATCACCCAACAAACGACGGTGCATAGCTGGGGGCAAAGGAAAATAATATTTGCCGGAGCCATAACGTGGCGGATCGGTCGAAATAATTGGTTTTAATTGGAAATTCTCTGCATTTGGCCCCACATGGATGGTTGGGATGGTGGAGCATTCGCGAAGGAAAATTATCCAACCGTGATTTGCCAGAATAAATGTGCTGAGAGAGACTTGCAGGAAATTGTCGATGAAAATGGGAAATTTGCGAAATTCTAACGAACGAATTTGTGGAAAACGGCAATAACTTTGTGTTTCTTTCTTTTTTTTTGGCTGAATGGAAAGGAAAGCAGCCGTTGGTGGACTTTTTGTTGTGATTGTTGCAAGTTGTAGGTTACATTATTGGCCGGTTCGATGTTAACCGTGGGGTTTGAATGCGCTGCTCGTTGCCAACATGTTGTGTGTCTGACATGTGTCTGACTGTCTGCTTGGCCATTGGTTGTGTGTGTTTTTCTTTCGTTGACGTCGTTCGTCGCCAATGAGCTACAAAAAAATTTGTTTAAAGCAAGTTTCTTCGTCGTCGGTCGTGCGTTTTGTATTGAATTAAAATCGGGTTCAGTAGAAGAAATTTGCAAAAGATTTCGTCAAAAAAATGTGCGAATTTATTGCAAAATGGTAAAAAATATGTCCCCCGCCCCGCCTCAGACCCACCCCCACAGTGTACATGCATGAAAGGTCCATTTGAAGGCCAATTGAAATTCCAGGCCCTGTAAATTATCACTGCTCACACCACGCGTTCTTCCTCGCCCTGTTTTATTTGGGTTTGTGACGTGACGTGACGTCTGAAAATGAAATGAAAGGCGAGAAAAGCCGAGAAATGAAGTAAAAATTATGCCTTGAAACGTTGCTGGCGTGTTCGCGCTCCACGATTTCGATATATCAGAAAAATACCATATTCTGCCCACAAATATGAAAGAGTTGAAGAAGGGAGGATCCATGCAAAAATTGGTGATCCATCCCATTCAAAGTGTACAAGTGTTGTTGTGTTTTGGAAGTGTTTGTGACGTGTCCAACCACGAAGAAAATCCAAGGTGTTTTCATCCCCTCCCCCCTGGAAAGTGTAAAAGTGTTACTCCACTCGTCAAAGAAAACGGCGAAAGAGAAAATGTTGTCTGGACACACCCAATTTGCAATGCTTCTTCCTTGTTGAGATCCATCCAACAACAAGAACCTCATCATCATCATCGGTGGTCCATATGTAATTTGTTTTGTGTCCAAATATCCGCCGATAGGGGAAAAATCCAAATGTGTTTAATTTTGTGAGGTGTATTTTATGGAAACCCAAAAAAAGTATATTTTTCGATATTACGTCACAATTGGGGAAAAAATTGTGAAACAGAAAAATTTTGTGATTTTTTCGATTTGAAAAAATATTTTGAAAGCTAAAAAGAAAATGTTGCAATTAATTGTTTTTGAATTATTGATTTTTGTTCGAATTCGCGTCTCCAAAATTTCCATGGATTATATTTGAAAAACACCAGCCATCAGCCAACATCTTCGCAAATGGTAAGTGTTCTAAGGCAATTTTCCTTTTGATATAGATAATATTCATTTTAGTTGAATCAGGAGCAATGTTCGTATAACAGATTACCTCTTCAAATAAGTCCTTTGGTAATCCCAGCCTAACATCATATTATCACAAGTGACTTTTGGAATAGGAGAACTTTAGCCCTGTTTCTGTACGACGATACAAAAATGATTACGAAAGATGAAGAATTCCAAATGAGCTTTTCTAAATGTGTATACACTCCACCATGGAAAGGTGGGTGCATATATAACACCTCTAAATAATAGTCGATCAGCATGAAATTGTAAGTCGATTTAATCGTGTCTCTATGCCTGTCTCTTGAAATCAAGGTAGAACCAACATTATTTGACGTTGAGATTTGAAATTTGCGACAATATTTTGTAATGTGTCTAGGATGGTTGGTGTTGAAAATGAGATGCATCGGACCACGTTTTGTACCGCCATATAACGGTACCTCCCGATATTCGGTATTTTGATGAATCGGAATCGTTTTAAATTTCGTATTGAAAGATCTTAATGGGTACTACATCCTATAGCAAATCATTTCGTATGCAGCTCTACGACTTCGAATAGCCCCCATATAACGTTACCTCCCGATATTCGGTATTTTCATGATTTCAGTGACCTTATTATTCACCGGATTGGTTTCAAATTTCGTATTCGGAGTTTGTAATGGGTACTAAAACTCACATAATTTCACGTAGAGCTTTGAAATTTGGAATAATATTTTGTCATGTGTCTAGGATGGTTGGTTTTGAAAATAAGATGCTCGGTCTACGTCTTCGTATAGCCCCCATATAACGTTACCTCCCGATATTCGGTATTTTCATGTTTTCAGCAACATTATTCATCCGAATTGTTTCAAATTTCGTATTGGAAGATCTTAATGGGTACTAAAACCTATGGCAAACAATTTCTAATGCAGGTCCATGTCTTCGTATAGTCCCCATACAAAGTTACCTCCCGTTATTAGGTGTTTTGATGATTTTAGCGACATCATTCACCCGAATTGTTTCAAATTTAGTATTCGAAGTTTGTAATGGGTACTACAGCTTATGCCTACAAAATTCGTATGCAGGTCCACGTCTTCGTATAGCCCCCATGCAACGGTACCTCTTGATATTCGGTATTTTAATAATTTTAGCGACTTTATTCACTGGAATTGTTTCAAATTTCATATTCAAAGTTCGTAACGGGTAGTACAGCCTATAACGTATTTGAAGATTTTAATGGGTACTACAGCCTATTGCAAAAAATTACTTATCCAGGTCCACGTCTACGTATAGCCCTCGTATAAGGTTCATCATTTAAACGGTATTTTTAAACATTTTCAAGTTCCTTCTAAATGGTGTGTGGGTATTAAGAGTTCGGCCCGGCCAAAGATAGATGCGTTTATGGCTTGTAATGCGTTTTTCCTCCAGGTATTCCATATTTTTACGATTTTGGCCGCATTTTTTATCGAATTTGTTTAAAATTGTGTATTCGTACTTCAAAATGGGTTCTACTACCGGTGTCGAAAGTGGATCCATATTGGTCCATGGTTTCAAATATCGGTCGGTGAAATCAGTCTGTTTCGGTGATATCAGTCTGTATATTTTTTAAATAAATTTTGATTTGTGTTATGATTATCAAAATGTTGGCCAATACTGTAATTTTTTTTTATCTGACCTAAGTCTAAAATAAATAAATGTAAACTAAGTGCCAATTTTGAATATTTTTTGGAAAATGTTGAAATGCGAGTGAGGTACCAAATATAGGGGACCAAATATTCCCTATTTTCTAATAATAATAATAAAAATATTTGCAAATGGGAGAAATATTTCTTTTGCAAGGTTTCAGAGATATAAATATTGAAATTTGTGACCCTTTGTGTGGAGGTACGAGAATAGGTATTGTCATGGAAGAAATATTGGAATTTATGAAATTCAAAGAGAATGCGATGCTTTTTTCGCATTTTACAAGAGTTGTAATTATTTAAAAATTTCGACCCGTTGTGGTGGAGGTACAAGAAGAATTGGGCCGATATATTCCATCTTCACAAAAGATCTTGTGTTAGGAAAAATATTGAAATGTGTGAATTTTAGAAAGAATGAGATTCTTATTTCTCATTTTATAAGCATTTTAATTAATCAAAATTGTGATTCCTTTGTGGGGGGAAGTACCAGAAGGAGTGGACATATATACTCCATCTCCACATCAGAATTTGTGTTGATAAAAATATTGAGATGTGCAGAGTTTGAAAGTTATCGGATGCTCATTTTGCGTTTTATGAGCTTCATGGTTATTCATAATTTTGACCCGTTGTGGGAGAGGTACCAGAAGGAGTGGACCGATACTGCCTATTCACGAACTCGATCTAAGTTTGACAATAATATTACGATGTGCCAAGTTTGGATTAAATCGGATACTCCCTACGAGAGTTATCGTGCGCATCAACCAGACAGGTGGACGAACGGTCGGACAACCCTATATTGACTCCAAACAAAATTATGTTCTGGAATTCGTTTCAGAACGAATCGAAAGAGACCTAGGATCTAAAACCTTTATTTCGATGAGGCACGGTTTGGTTGTAACAAATGATATATGCCGTCTGTAGCCATATGCCTGAGGGTAAAAAAATTGACAAAGAGACATTGGTGTCATTTATAATCTACAATAGAGTTTTCGTACTTCTTTGTTACTACTCCGACTTATTAAATCCAACGTATATATTAGAATCCGAATATTGTTGATTTGTTTAATTTATAAAAAAACGCATTTCAAATTTGTTCAATATATACGGTACACGAGGTACGAAAAAGACCACCCATTGCCATTGCCATATTCGCTAACTAATTCTCTACAATTCATAATGATTTGAGGATTGGATGTCCTGAGAAGAATGCTTTCAGTGTGAGTAGAATTTAGCGGTAATATTCATGATTGGTCCCAGTCCCAGCCACAGTCCGGCTGATAAAATTCTACATTAAAGGATTTTTCAAAGTTTATCAGAGTTTTGAATCTTGCGATAGTAAAATCTTTTAAGTTCCGAACGGAAAATACATGTGTTGTTGTTTCTAGAACCGTTAAGGACTAGGTAGGTTCCCATTTATAATAAAAAATGTACGTTTTTTAATTTTATTTCAATGCTCAATCAAATCATTCTGATATTATTACCAAAGATCTAAATCGTGTCCATACTTTCAGAGTTCAAAATGTCAAAACGTCTCTCATTTTCGGAAGTCTTTTTAAAACATTTCTTTACGAGATCAGTTACAATCTGGCATCTGGGGCTTACATACGAGTATTTGATTACTCTCTTTCAAAACATAAATGCCTCGGGAAGGTCTGAGATTTGGTCAAAAGTTCGAAAGATTGATGAACTTTTATTTCCTAGCAGGAAACTTGTACGATAGAAAGGCAAAAGGACAAGAAATTCTGTATTATCAATTCAATCTCAATCTCTTTGATATTGAATGGCAATACATTGAAATCTTTTGTGACCAGCTGTTTCAGTGCAATGTGCTTGCTGTCCGTCTTCCCCATTTTTTGATGGGGAATTGGACAGAACTCAATTCAGACTAATCTGTGACTGATTTTTTTTATTAAAAGAAATGTCTTAAAATGACTTGAAAACTGTTGAGAATTTCGAAAAGTATTAAAAATTCCTTCTGGAAAATCTTAATTTTTATGAAAATAGAACAGAACGGATTATATACAATTTTTACTAACAAGAGTGGATTCTAAAAACAACAACATTACTTATCCCAGAGGTCAGTTACAATCTAGCATCTGGGGCAAACTCACGAGTATTTGATTACTCAAATAATAAATGCCTCGGGAAGGTCTGAGATGTGGCTAAACAGTTCTAAACTCAATGTCTAGTTGAGACATTCGAACTGTAATTTTCCCGCAGGACAACTTTTATAATTAAAAGGCAAAAGGACAAGAAATTCTGCAATTTCCATATTGTGTGGAAATGCATTGAAATCTTTTGTGGCCAGCTATTTTAGTGCAATGTGCTTGCTGTCCTTTCTCCACCAAATAAATGGGAAATGGGCAGAACTCAATTCAGACTAATCTGTGACTGACCTCTTTGAAACATTAA